TCTCTCTATGTCTTTCTCTTTCTCTTTCTCTCTCTCTCTCTCTCTCTCTCTCTCTCTCTCTCTCTCTCTCTCTCTCTCTCTCTCTCTCTCTCTCTCTCTCTCTCTCTCTCTCTCTCACCCATAAAGAAGTACAGAAGTTAAACTAAGACCTACAAAGAAGACAAGGCTGCTAAATGATGTTTATAATGCTGGCTGGAGATGCAAACTCGTCTTATCACAGCTGACATAATTTCGGCCTCCTTTTGTCTTGATCCTGAAAATATGATTAGATAGATAATGAGATATGATGTTAAACTGCAAGTAGAACAATGAAGGGAAGTACAGGAAAACACATGAATATGCCGAAAGCCTTTTCACATTTACTGCTTCATCATGCCCTGATGAAGCAGTGTGTTTTCCTGTACTTCCCTTCATTGTTCTACCTACAATTTGTTCGACACGAATTCCGCTTAATGTTAAACATAGTACTAATAACCAAAACATAATCCTAGTAGGAATTATCCAACTCACACTTAGGCCTCCCATCTCAGCTCACAGCAAGTTCCAGTGGATAAAAATTGAATAAAATTACATGAAAAAAGTCTCTTTGGAAGATCGTGCATATTTATCTTTTACCACATCCTCCCTGACACATTCCATAATCACCCCTCTTGTAGTTATATAAATGTTCTAAATTGCAACTAAATTAAACTAAATGACATGCATCCATACAAGATAAGAAAACTGGCTGACACTTCCGTTAAGCAAATGATACCAGGATGGCATATATGGCATGTCCTCTGTTATTCTTGCTTTATACATTTATATGCACATAGATTAATCCAGAACAGCCTAGTTACCAAGGAGAAAAAATCTGGCCAAGAGAATGGGTGATGGGAATGTTTAGTGAAAATAAAACTCCAAGACTTGGCGGCACTTTTGAAAACTATGGAAGTGATAAAAAACAGCCACAAGGAGTGTAAGGGGGGGAGGGGCGTGTATTGTAAAGGAACAAAACAAACAACTATGTATAAGTGCATTACGCTCAACCATAAGCTTGAAAAAGCAGTAAAGATAAAAAAGCATGCACTGAGATTTTTCCATTTCATTACACCAATACGCCAAGGAATATAATTTAGGCTAAATCCACGCCGACAGGAAAGCTAACTCCACGCTGGAGATCTTCGGGCCTAAGTACATGAAATCCACCCTGGTCTATATTACCATGTACAATTCCAGTCGTCACAGACTACTGTACTGTGTCAGATATATGTAAAACTGTAATCATGTAAAGCTGTAATCATGATTGCCCACGCCGGAGCAGATAGCCAGGGTGGTAAATAAACTTACTTAACTTAACCAGTATTTCTGGATTTATTTCTGTCTCTTTCGAGCTTCCAAACATTGAACTCCATATTTTTCTGTGACATAATATGGGCTTTATAACTTCTAGTACTATAGTGAACCTTCCAAAACTATTAGAAATCACTTATTCATCACTCTTACCATTAGTTTTCTACCTTTATATAACTGATCACTTAAAAGTGACTACCAGGCTGTAACGGCGTAAAGTATTAACTCGCAATAAATAAGTTTTTCATCAGTATCTACCAAATATAATGAAATAAAAAGGTCACAGACATCATCACATATATATGTTTGTAAGATAAATTAAGAGACATTCACTATAACTGCCTGAAAATAGTTAAAAGACTTACAGGTTCAACAACTGCCTCCCTGTTTGGCTGTTTTGTAAACATTGCGTTCGAGAGTGATACCGAGAGGTAAATATATTTTTTCATCCTTTGTTAAAGCCCTTTTTCATGGATGATTAAATAACTAAAGAGTTAATGAAAAAATATGAAATCCATTTCTATAAGCAAGAAAATGTCCCATAGTATTAAAATTCTTGACATTGTGATTCAAAGACGGTATACATTTCGAACGCTTCTCAAGCGATATCTCTAATTGCCGACGGGCGCCGCCGGGAACCGACGGGCTGCCGGCGGGCCATGGACGGGCATGGACGGGCACCGACGGGCTAATTCGTAGCCTAGTAGCGTAAACTGTACATAGGGTTCTCTGCATGATTCGAGTACCGGTAGACTACTCCTCTTTGACTGCGACTCTGTTGGAGTTAACTCTTGTCCACCCTCAATACAAAGTTTCATTTCACTGCCATTTGTGGATGCTTCTAAAGATAAGAACCTGTGAACTCAAAATCACATTTTTTAGGTTTGCTTAAAAAAAAAAAAAAAAAACTGGTAGGGGTAGGCCTACTAGGGAAGAATAGTTAATACAGCAGGGGACTGGCGAACCTTCCTGTATTCCTGGAGGAGTCTTCTGGCATGACGACGGCGTCCTCAACAGCCACGGTCTGGAACTGCGGCTAGCACGGACTCTCTATGGTGAGATCGCCCTGCTGAGATTGCCTTGGACTATTATAGTGACAATAAATAAATGCAGAAGCTTACGAGCCCAGCCCCTTGGGCTTACCTAGTAACTTTGGGAAATTTTGAAA